CAGGAGGTAAGAATTCAGCACCTAATCATTATTAATGACAAAATTGTACCGCATTCAAATGAAAGGAGCAATACGTCGTGTGCCAACGCGTCGACCATCCCGTTGCCCCCCCCCCCCCCCCCCCCCGCAGGAGCGGCGCACGCGCACCGTGTTCCAGACCGCGAACCCGCTCTTCAACGCGGCGTGGTCGCTGGTGGCGCCCGCCTACGACAGCGCCGTAGAGGTGGAGCTGCGTGACGCGGCGAGCGACAGGGCCGTCGGCGCATTCGACGCGACGGTCTTCGAACTGGTGCAGCGCGACGCGGACGCCGCGGTCGCGCGGCGGCACCCGCTGCCCAGGTATGTAGGTATTGAGTCCATTGCCACGTACATGGCCCCCTGCGTGCTTCGATACGCTGTGAGCGACAGGGCCGTTGGCGCATTCGACGCGACGGTCTTCGCGCTGCTGAGACGCCGATGCCGCGGTCGCCAATGCCGCGGTCGCGCGGCGGCACCCGCTGCCCAGGTGCGTCAACTGCAACTTCAGAATGAAGTTCGATTTCAGCAGGTCATCACGGCACGGTGCTGTAACGTGCAGTTTATGTACATCTTAGTACACCGCTGCCACACAAAGTATGTGACGCGGAAATCACATACATGTACCATCTGACCTGCGTGACGCCCTTAGAGCGACAGGCGCCTCGGATGACAAGGTCTTCGAGCTGCTGCAGCGTGATGCTGACGCACGCAGCGGCGCCTGCTGCTCGGGTGTGTAGCGCATAAGCTGGTGTGAAAGCGAATGTGGCCAGGCGCAGGGGTGGCCACCAGAGTTGCGCAAGCAGCAGGTGTGCGTGGTGCGACTTAATGTATAATTATATGAAATATGAGATGAGCAGCAAATGCGCATTACATAGTCTTTGTCTCATCTTCATGATGGCGCAATCCCCCCCCCCCCTTTGCGTCTTCCAGCGAAACCGCTTCATGGCGCGGCTTGCGCGACTCGCGCACGGGGCGCGTCGTGGGCCTCCTGAAACTTCAAGTGGCATTTCTTGAAGACGGCGAGGGGCTCATGTGGGGCCCCCGCCCGCGCGCGGCCCCCTCACGGGCGCTGGACGACCTGACGGTGGAGACGCTGAAGCGCTACATTGAGCGAGCGCAGGTATGTACCTACCCTTGTGTGTGAAGATACATACCTGCCCTCGTGAAGGAGGGTAGATGCCTACCCTCGTGTGTGAAGATACATGCCTACCCTCGTGTGTGAAGGTACATCACTGTCACGAGCCAAATCGGCATCACGTCCCTGCACGCTACCCTCATGTGCAAAGGGTACATACCTGCCTCATGAGTGAAGGTGCATACCTACCTTCGTGTGTGAAGTGCCACTTCAAGTGTGACATTCCTCTGTGCTGTCCGTCGTCTCACCACCGCAGGGCATTGTCGGCTGGCTGTCGGCGTGGGGCCGCGTGTACTCGCGCGTCATGTCGTGGGAGAGCCCTCTCCTCACGGGCGCGGCGCTCGCGCTCTTCCTCTACCTGACGCTGCTGTCGAGCGCAGAGTACGTGCTCGCGGGCCCGCCCTTTGCGCTCCTGGCGTACATGGGCCACGCGTGGCTGGCGCGCCGCGACGGGCGCTACGTGCGCTGCTGGTGAGTCCTCTGAGTCAGTGAGTGAGTCAGAGAGTGAGGCAGTCAGTGAATGAGCGAGTCACGCGCGGCTGGCGCGCTGCGATGGGCGCTACGTGCGCTGCTGGCGAGTCAGGGAGTGAGTGAGTCAGTGAATGAGTCAGGGAGTGAGTGTGTGGGTGGGTCAGGGTATGAGCCACGCGCGGCTGGCGCGCCACGACACGCGCTACGTGCGCTGCTGGTGAGTCATCTGAGTCAGCGAGTGAGTCAGGGAGTGAGTGGGTGAATGAACAAGTCAGGGCAGTAGCCACACACGCAGCTGGCGTGCCGCGACGGGCGCTGCGTGCGTTGCTGGGGTGCAGTGCTCAGCACTTTGCTGAGCGCTGCGGAGCTTTGTCCTTGCGTGCACATTGCAGGGTAGCAAGCAGAGCAGACGGCAAGTCCATATTCTTTGACTCTAGTTGGCCCTCAGGTCCCGCCACCCGCAGGCCGCACTTTGCAGGGGCGGGGCCGAGGGTGGTACTGAACCTCAACTGCAACTTCAAATTTAACTTCCTCGCACGCGTGCAGGGTCGAGGTCAGAGCGGACGACAAGTGTGCGGCAGCTCAACTTGAAAGCAACTGCTGCCTCAACTTCAACTTTAAATCACGAATGGCCACGCACGGGCAATGCCACTTATGCGCGCAGGGTCTAGGGCCGAGTGACAAGTCCGCAGCGGCAGACGCGCAGGGGTACCGCCCCCTCGTGCAGCTGCGACTCGTTTCAACCTCATCTCAACGACATCACGCGCCTCGCCGCCCATAACCCGCCCCCTTTGCAGGGTCGATGGCAGAGCGGACGGCGTTTTCGTATACTTCAACTATAGCTGGCCATCTCGCTACCCGCAGGCCGCACTTGCAGGCTCAAGGGCGGTACTCTTACCTCACTGTCAACTCCAACTAATTGATGGCCACGCACGCGCGCAGGGTTGAGGGTCGAGTGGACGACAAGTCCGCGGGGGCGGACGCGCAGGGGTACCGCCCCCTCGCGCAGCTGCGTGTGGCAGTGCTCCGCGGGCGCAACCTCGTGTCCGAGGACCTGGGCCTGCCGGGCAACGCGTACGTGCGCGTGACCTACGCACCTGCGGCGGTAGGGGGTGTAGGGGCAGGCGGCGGCGGCGGGGGCACGGGGGCCCTGACGGCAGACGGGGCGGCTGGGTGAGTCACAGTTGAAGTTTTGCTTCAAGGTTTGCGCGATGCAGTGAGTTAACGTGATAATTAGTGACTCTCGTAGTGGCTCTTGTAGGCGTATTTTGGGATGTGCGTGGCTGCGGCGTGCGTATCTTTGACGCTGTACGACCGTCATCTGCCGGCTCTCATCGTGCGCTGCATGTGTGGATTCGCGGCCTCAACTTAACCCACAGTCGAGGTCGTTGCCGCCAGCGCAAGTTGCGAGCGAGCCCGTGGTGTATTGCCGGAGAGCACAAATTATAGCGGGGTGGGGGGGGGCGAGGGGAGGCCAAACCCTGGTGTTGGGTCTGTGTTCGGCTCCAGCGCACGCCGAACGCGAAAACTCTGTTACGCTGTGTGTAATAATCACACGGCCTCTGGCTGCCTGACCACTCGAGTACATCCATATGCACACGAGCTCAAAGCATCAGCTACAGCTGCATTTTAGGCCTCATACGGCAGAAAACCAGTGTTCGTGCAGCAGTGAGTGTCATACTGTAGAAATCCAGTGCTTGCGCAGTGACTAACAGTCCCCCCCTGCCCCCCCCCCCCCCCCCGCCGCCTGACACAGCGCGAAACGCGGCGCCGCGCCCGAGTTCACCGTGGGCGAAACGGCCCCCCTAGAGGGGGCGCGCCCAGACCCCGAGTGGCGAGCGCTGGCGCCGTGGGGGGGGGGGCGGGGGGGCGGGGGGGGGGACAACGTGCTGCTGCAGAACGTGACGGAGGCTTGGCCCCGGGGGGGGGACGATACGGGGGAGGACGCCGCGCTGCTGTACCCGCTGCTGGAGCCGCGGTCGGCGGAGGGTGAGTACTTTGAGTTTAAAGTATGGGATGACCTGGGGTAGTGAGGGGTCGGCAGAGGGTGAGTGCGGAATGGCGGCGGTGTACTTCAAGTTTGAAGTAGGGGGTGGCTTGGGGGTTTTGGGGAGCGTACTTGATACTTGCAGTTTGGACATGAAGCAGGGCAGACAATAGGGCATGTGGCGCACTTATGTGAAGCTGTACTGCCCAGCATTGTGCTGAGTGATCAGGCAAGTGCTGCCAGCAAGGGGGGTGAACGCACAGGGGAACGACGCAGCACTGTTGTACTTTACATGATGCAGGTTTTTTCGCCCCTCATGATGCAGGGTTTTTCGCCCCTCAAGCAAAAAGAATGTAGAGTCTGTGCAGTACAGGCACCATAGCAGTAACGGCTGGCTGCCAGTGCACACAGGCTGCGCGTGTTGTACCCACTTGCAGCTGTGTTTGACCCCTGGTGCGTGCTTGTGCTGCATACCCATGAGCACACGGAGGCGGTTAGGTTTTGTGCGCCCACTTGCGCCAGCTTTTAAATTCACTCACAGTGGTGGCCCAGAAATACAGCGCCGGCTATTTGTTTACGTTCAACTGCAGGAACGGCAAAAAACAACAGCATATGGCAAAAGAGTATTCCTACTTCAAGGCGGATAGCATCATGCATACCCATGAGCACACGGAGGCAGTTAGGTTTTGTGCGCCCGCTTGCGCCAGCTTTCAAATTCGCTCACAGTGGTGGCCCAGAAATACAGCGTCGGCTATTTCTTTACATTCAGGAACAGCAAAAAACAACAACATATGGCAAACGAGTATTCCTACTTCAAGGCGGATAGCATCATGGCCAGTGCTTCTTTCACAAGACTTGCACCAGCAGCAATAGTAACTCCAGCTGCAAATTTTTAAAATTCGTTTGCTTCACAATAAGGCTTGGAGTCTGCATTGCCGGAGTTGGCTTCTGCAGTAGCGCCGGACTTGGCCCAGCTTTACTAATAATTTTTAGTGCGGCTACGTTTATTTTGTTTCAATCCTCAGTTTTAGGTAATAACAAAGGCTACATTGCACCAAGTCGTTTTGAAATTGCAATAAGAAAATTTATACAATAGTATTAACATTAACATTGACCTAGTTGGTAAAAAGGGATTAATTTGTCTTCCTCTGCACACATGTTACAATGGGAAAGCCAAAATGTTACAATTTTTATGTCAATCATAAAAATTTGCCTTCGTTCGGATCGAAAGCTAGAACTTGTTTTCACGAAGGAGGAATCACTACATGTAGTAGGTGTGGATCAGGATGCCCAGGTGAATTTGTACCTGGACTTTGTACACACCGCCCGTCACATGCTGGGAGTGTGTTTCACTAGAAGGTTACAAGGTAATAATCAACTGTTTGATTATGGATAAGGTGGGATTCGAACCCACGGTGTTTGCAACACACCAGTTTTCAAGACTGGCACCTTAAACCGCTCGATCACTCATCCTTTATAGTATTTCTTATGTTTATTGATTTTTGAATGTTGGAAATCTAATTGCTTGAAATGCTCCTGCTCTTTATCCTGGCGCCTACTCTACTTAGTGCACACTGCGTTCGCCGTGTGTGCTGTTGAGCGCTGGTGCCTGTGCAATCCCACCATGATTGTAGCTTCGTCATGTGTGCATTGCGGACGCTGCGATCAACAGCCCCACTCTGTCCAGACTTGCGACCTGAGCGTTGCTGGGCTTGATGCGGTAAGGCTGACAGCTTCGCCTCTGCCCCACCAGAAGCGAGCTTGCTCCATCATGCTGCCCCCCAGAGTGCCAACAGGGCTAGGTTTAGAATTAGGCTAAGTTCCGCCCGCTGCCTCTCTGTGTGTGCACTGCTGACCGCTGCCGCTGTGCGTGCCTGTGCCCGAAGTTCCACTGCTCGTACTCTCCTTTTCAAACACGAAATTCTTCTCAAACACGAAACTCCCGTTCCATCGCGCGATGCGCGCGTCGTCGCCGGACACTGGCGACGAGCCTCCGCCGGGCTGTCGAGGGCTGCACGCGATGTGCAGCAGTGCTCAGCGGAGCGTCACACCCGCTGCTCTTGCCAACGGCGCCAGTGCGTCGCGTGCTGAGCTGTGCTGCCTGCGCTGTTGTGTGCTGCTCGCTGCCGCAGGGAAACCACTCGCTTGGAGCCTGACGCCGGGCCACCTGCGGTTCACCGTCATGTTTGCCAATCCGTTCAACAGGTACGTGGCAGCGCTGATGCACTGCGCGCACGTCGGTGAAGAGGGTATGTAGGTTGACTGTGTGCAAATTAATTGTACTCTAACTTTGACTTGTACTGCAAGCTTGAACAGATCCATCCTGCCTGGCCGAACCAACAGGGGTTACGACAGACTGTAGTGTCCAACAGTCAAGTCAGCAAGAAAGAACAAGAGAACGTCATTGGGTATGTCATAAAAGCGCGCGTGATTGAACAGCGAGCTCTCATTCCCAGACCCGGTGGCGCGTGGACGCATTGTCTAGCACCCATTTCCACTGTCTGACAATGCGGGGGCAGCCTGCAACTGGACATGTGATAGACATGGAAGGTCGGTCGTTGACAGGACCTATGTGTGGCCTGCCTCAGGCAATACACAGCAGCGCTCCCCTCTTGGCAGAGCTGCAAATGCGCCTGCCAGTCAGTGGTCAAAGTGGCTCCCCCCCCCCTCCAAGCTTTCTCTTTGCGGTACTGCGCATGGCACAGTTTCAAACTAGCCTGAGCACCATGGCTGGAACGGTTCTCCCCACTGTAACGGGCACCTCTCCGTCATTAACGAGCTGGAAAAAGTGTTGTACCCTCCGAGCTCAGGCTGTCGCCCTGTCCAGGCTTCTGCTTGTGGACACGAAGCTGAGCTGGACTTCACAGCGCTCAGTGTGCTGTTGGTACTCTCATTCAAGCAGCCCCCTCCCCCCCACTCCCCCCACCCCATACCCCTCCACCCCCCCCCCCCCGCCCCCCCCCCCCCCCCCACAGCCTCATGGACTCAGAGCAGGGCCACGTCGCCATCCCCATCGCTCAGCTCGCCGACGGCCTCGAGCTCCGCGGCTGGTTCCCCCTCGACCGCCCCTCAACGCTCAGCGCCGCCGCCCCCGAAGCCTTCCCCGCCACCCCCCGCAACAACAACAACAACAACGATGACAACAGCAAGGCCATCAGCGCCGACGCCGCGGGCGGCGGCGGCGACGCCGAGGTGTTCCTGCGCCTGCAGCTGAGCGTGCGGCCGCCGGGTGCGGATGTGACGCCGGAGGACGTAGCGGCGAGCCGCGCCGTGGAGGCGCTGCTGCTGGCCGGCGGCGGCGGCGCGGGCGGCGCGGCGCTCGTGGCTGGCGCCGTCTCGGTGAGCGCTGCTGCGGGGTTTGTGACTAGTAGGGTTGGTTGCACAAAGGCGAGTAGGATTAGATGTGCGGCCGCCGGGCGCTGACGTGCCGCCAGAGGGCGTGACAGCGAGCCGCGTAGTGGAGGCGCTGCTGCTGGCCGGCGGCGGCGGTGACGCGGGCAGCGCGGCGCTGGTGGCTGGCGCCGTCTCGGTGAGCTCGCTGCTGCGGGGCTTGTGATCCAGTAGGGCTTAATGTAGGCGAGTAGGGTCAGATGCGCACTGGTTTGGGGATGTGGCAGCGAGCTGCGCCGTGGAGGCGCTGCTGCGGACTTGGCGCAGGCGGCGCGGCGCTCGTGGCCGGCGCCGTTTTGGAGAGCGCTGCTGCAAGGGTGTGTGACCAAGGTGCACTACTGGTTGCTGAGCAGCGCACAACAGGGCACAGGGGGCAAAAGAGTGTTGCTGCGTGGCACGTTCCTCCGCTGCAAGTGACTGGTTGGTCTTTTGATACTTTTTATCGGGGGTCATACTGCCCGCCAAGGAATCGCATTGCTTGCTTGCCAACCTTCCCGGAACTGCTACCATATCTGCGAGGATGCCACGCCAGACAATGCTGGTGCTAGCGGGGTCACTGCCGCCGCATTGGTTGCGCTGCCGCTGCGGCCGAACCGACGCTTGGCGTTCCGTGATGCTGGACGGTCCCCGCTTGATGACACATCAACTTTTCTCGAATCACAGTCGCTGTCTCACTCAACCTGCCGGAGAGGTGGCCGTCCTGAAGCCAGTGCAGCGGGCACAAGTCCCCCCCATCCCCATTCTCCCCCCCCCCCCCCCCCCACTGCTGCAGTCAGCACTTGATACTTTACTGTCTCACACTTGCTGCCGCCTTACTTTGGAGCATAACCTACAGCTACAGCCCTTATTTGTCCGCTTCTTTTCCACCGAACCCCCAGCCATTGCCGCAGCACGCCCCCCAAAACGGCGCGCCTGAAGACGCCAGCGCCGCAGGCGCCGCCGCGCCGCCGCCGGTGCCGCCGCCGCTGCAGCAGCAGGCCAGCAGCAGCAGCGGCGGCAGCAGCAGCAACCCGCTGGCAGCGGTGCGCAGCCTGCGCAGCGGCGCGCGCGACGTGCAGGCGGTGGTCGCGACAGTGCTCGACTGGGCGGAGGCGGTGAAGAACCTGCTCAACTGGACGCACCCGCGCAAGGTGCGGGCTGTTACCGTTGAAGTTGAGGTTTGATGATAAGCTGTGTCGCTTAAGTTATTTGTTGGGTATCGTTGCTCGAGCCGTTGTGATGTACGGTCCAAGTAGATGCAGACCTTTGCTGGTTATTCGTGATGCCGCCACATCTCAGAACTGTTGTTTCATCATCTTTTGTTGCAGCGTTTTATGTGCATTTGTCACTTGCCCAACTGGACGCATCTGCGCGAGGTCTGGCAGTGACAAGCAGCTGCATGTGCGCTGCACAGAACGTGTTCTGGTATGTACTTTTATATTCGCTTCACATATACTGGTATATTGCCAAGGCTGCCATGTGGTGGAGGTGGCGGCAAACAGCGTATGGCCACAAGGTAAGACGATGCACAGAGGGAAAGCGGGAGGGAAAATGGTTGCAGGCGGTGGTGGCAGCAGTCCTGGGCCGACTGGAGGCAGCGAAGAAGCAGACTGCTCATGAATGCTGTACTTCATACTTCGTGGAATTGGGTTCTGATTCAGTTGCCGCGTGTAAAGACGCCGTGATGTAGCGCGGCATCCCTCAAAGCTGCAAGAAGGGGGAGGTGCACAGCACGTAAGGCGCGACTGCAGCGGTGCTCAAGTTGATGGGGGGAGTGCATTTGGTGGACAGAACGTGGCCGACGACGTCGCGCGCTGCAGCAGTTGCACCAAACCGTTTTGTGCGAATGAACTGTTGCGCATGTGCCGCGCAAACTGTGTACTTGCGAAGCCCTGATATCGATGGTCATAACCATGACTCTGAGCAAAACTGGCAAAAAAGAATGCGTGTACTAAAAGAATACTTCAACACTTTTTCGGAGAAGATGCGCATGGCAGTCAGGCAATGCCAATGCGATACTATATGTAGTGGGGGGCAGTCTGACGCTTTATTGCAGCGCTCAGCCAAGCCTCAGTGCTCAGCACACACGCCCCCGCCGCCGCCCCCCCCCCCCCCCCCCCTCCCCCCCCCGCTGCAGACCGCGGTCGCGGCGGCCGCGGTGGCCATCGTGTGGGGCGTCCTGCTCATCATCCCCGGCCGCTACATCATCCTTGCGGGCGGCCTCTGCGCATTCGGCGCGCACTGGCTGCCCAAGTCCGAGCCCAAGTCGCCGGCGGCAGCGGCAGCGGCGGCGGCAGCGGTGGCGGCTGCTGCGGACGACGGCGGGCCGAAGCCCGACCCCTGGGGGGTCAGGGTGGTCAACTTCTTTGCCAGCGTGCCCACGGACGCGGACCTGCGGCGCTGCTACCGGTGAGATACGCCATCGCGGCTGGAGCAGCAGTGCTCCGTTGTGCAAGCAGCCCGCCGGACGAGGCGTACACGCGATGATGGACGCCGCAGCGGCTGCGCGTGGCCATGCGTGTCTGCGCCACATGCCCTAAGACAGCTCCTCCGAACACGCGGCGTCAGTGACCGGCAAGACCCGGGGTGCGCTGTTCATCGTAAGGAGGAGCTGACGCTGTGTGCGTTAGCCTTCGTCCATAGCTCAGGCACTGCGTGATGCTCCAGTTCCTCAGCTTGCACCGCCAGTCAGCCACGCCACCAGCAGCAGCTGCTGCTGGCGTGCATACGCAAGCGGCACGCAGCCAGCTATGCTCGGGGCTTCCGCAGTTCGAAGAAGGGAGAGCTGATGGCTTGCGCGCGCGTGCTGCTGTCGATGCTTCACGCACAGGTGGGACGCGCACGAGCACGCGGCGCGCGTGGCGGAGCGGGCGCGCCTCCAGCAGCAGCGCTCAAAGCTGCAGGCGCTCGGCCTCGGCTGCCAGTGGGAGGGCAGGGTGCAGTGGCAGGTGAGGGCGACGCGCCTGCGCAGCGGCGGTGACCTGGGTACTTGTGGCTCAACAGCCCAAGGAGCAGCGGGTTTGGCTGTAGTGAGGCCCGGCCAGGTGCAACTGGAGCTGCAACCATTAGACTTTGTGAGGCCTGATGTGTGGCAAAAAAACGAA